GTAGCATGTCTATCACTGATGGGAAATACATTGCCTTCAGATAACACATGGTTTGGTACAGAAAGCAAAACAGATTATCTTTTGCTATCATTCTTCCAAAGGACAATATCCAGAAGAAGAAGAAAGGCTGAGTATCATTGATTCCTTCTATGAGGGTGCCAGTAAACTCTTGCACATACACACATGTGCTCAGGCTGCTGGCACCACCCTTTGATCAGCTCTGTGTCTCCTCCCACCATTACCTTGATCCCATCAGACTCCAGGAACCTCCTGAGGCCCACCTCGTCCAAAGCAGCCGTGTCAGGTACTCCGCTGTTCCCAACTATGGGGTTAGCCAGTGTAAGAATCTGTCCTTTGTAGCTTGGATCTGTCAAGGCTTCTGTATATCTAGATGGAGAAGCACAGAAGAAAAGTACATTGGTTTGGAGTTGAAAGGATAAGAGCCAGTGAAAACAAGACAGGTCTGAATTCCCACATGACAAAAAGACAGAAATGGTATTCATGTGAAAACATTCTCAGTCTAAAGGCAAACACATCTGAATCTGCCCTGACTTTGCCATCTGTGATTAAACATTTGACACTGAGAACAAGGAAAGGCTTTGGCTTCTCATGTTTCATTTAAGAAAAGCACAGGAGCTATTACCAAACTCAGACTCCTCCAGATTTAACACAAGGTGAACAACTGCACAAAGTGCAGAGCGGTCACAGAACCACAAGAAGTGCCTGGCGTACCGCTTGACCCACAGGTGACAGCTTGGGCTTGGTTATTCCCTGGGCACACCATGTGGGCAGTGCTTCGCCACTGCTGTGTCCTTCTCTCCACGCGGTGTAAGAACTTCTCTCTACCAGTGGCAACAGAAAGCTCCAACTGAAAAGCTGACACACCACAGAGTTGTCTGCCCAGATTTGGTCCTTCCCCAGTCTGGAGATTGCAGGTCTTGAGATGTTCAGGGCTGTAACTGCCATTCTGTGAGGGAGCAGGTAGACAAATCTATACCTATCGTTCTGTCTGGGCATCAGGGAAGGAGCTGTGAATCATCCCCGTGATTCCTCACTACTGCTCTAGGTTCTTCTCTCCTACCTGCTCTGTCAACAGACGCTGCCATGGTTCCACTTCTGCAGCTTCTCTCAGCAGAAGCCTGGCCTCTCTTCTAGGCAATCTCCAGGTTCCCACCCACAGGACATCATACATTGCACCTCACCAGACTCCTAAGTGCTTGCAAGTTGGTTTGTGTATCTCTGAAGAAGGCAATGCTTTGGGATTCCAGCAGTCTACCCCAGTCACAAGGCCCCAAAGCATGTCCTTGTACCCTTAGCCCAGGCAGAAGCCCCAGGAACAGCAACTTTGTTCAAGCACCTGCCTGAAGACCCTTCTCGGCAAAGACAGATCTAAATGCGTGGCGGAACATTCTTCTGCAGTGGAGAATCAAACCCAGGATTTTGCCAAGTATCAGCTCTGGATCCAGTAGATCCAGTCTCATTTTCAACCCTGAAGAGGGGGACAGGGTAAACATGGGCTACATGCCCATGCTCCTATTCTTCACCTTCAAACGAACATGCAGTCCTTCACCTTCTCCCTTGTGCTGAAGCATACTGTTGCAGCAATCCATCAAACAATCGCTGTCTTTCACCACAAAAGCAGCTGTAATTTAGCAACAGATGAAATCATCCACACAAATATTTAGCCAAATGCACAAAGATACTTCAGGATGAATCTGCCCTATACAAAATAAAATTTATTATTGTCATTATTGTTTAAACAATACAGAATTGGCAACTCCAGTCATCTACCAGATATCAGCAAGTCACAAGAGACGTTTTTATGGAACATCGGACTTACTGCCAGAAGATTTATTGTCAAACATTGGGAAACTCTTCACAAAACCTGGAATGGTTGCAGGTAGATAGAGACAATGCAGCACACCAGCCAGCTCTGAGAAATGACACGTCGGATGAACAATGGCCATGAAATATTTTCAGGTGAGCCTTCCCTGCTGTTCAAATCCATACTTCCTGCTGCAGGCAAACCACCACATAAAGTGCAGCGAGGCCAAAACTGCAGTAAGTGCATGGCATGGGTACATTTGGCGTTCTCTCTTTCCCAGTCAATTGGTTATGCTTCCAAAAGATCCTTTGTTAATGACAAAGCTAATGTAATTAACCTTTGCACATTATTTGTAAATCTCTGAAAAGGACAGAGAGCCGCTGGGTCTGGCTGGGGTATGAAGGCACAGCAAGGCCCTTCGAGCAGGGACAATGCCTCGTGGAACACGGAGAGGCAGATGGGAACACGAGCTCCGAAGATGCTGCAAGGTCAGATCCGTGCCGTGCCTGCCCAAAGGCCTGCCTGATTCCAGTGAATTCCTGCCAGTCGACTCTTGCTTCAACACCATGGGAAGCACACGCAGACTCACTGGAGGCAAATGCTTTTACTGAGCTGTTTCAAACAAGGGAACATTTTATAGGTTGTAATTTTTCTTCTTTCTTAATTGGAAATCTCCTCTCTTCCTTTTTGTTCCTATAGCAAACAGATGGCTGCAGCACTAGGATTTTTTTTTTTTTTCAGCAAGTGTTTCTCAAAAGTTCACCCTCATGCTTTTCTAAGGAAAATTCAACATTCCACCCCCAAAACAGTGCTCTCTGCCCTCTACTCTAGAGTGATATGACAACATTTTGGCCAGTTTTAGCTTAGTTTTGGCTGAGAGCTGTTCACACACAAAGTGCTTTGCCTCCCGGTCCTATGACATGAATCCGAACGTGGGAGTCCAGATGAAGAGACAAGGTGCATAGCAGCATATTAATCATACCAGTACAGAGCCCGTGCTGACCCCACTCAGCACCGAGAAACACCCACTTCACAGAAAGCCCTAATCTGAGGCTCAACAGCAGCCACAGCAAAATGGCCCCCATACTGCCCTCCTGCCCCCTGCACTGACAAATTGCTGTGTGCCCAGACGCTCTGAAAAAGGCCCCAGCCCTGGGCACCTCCTTCACGCAGGCACTTGGCCTCTTCCTGTGTCAATGAAAAGAGGGAGCTGGGTTCCTCTGGACACATAAGGTCTTGATCTCTGTGCTCGGGAGCACTCAGCAGAGCTACAGGGTTTCTCTCACTGGACAGCCATCCCTGGACTGGCAGCAAATCTGTCACTTTTATGATCTGCAACAATGCTGCACTCTTATCTTGCTCTTCTCCGAATCAATCAATCAAGGTCATGTTCCCAGAGAGTGTCTAAAGATACAGCCTTACATTCAGAACGCTCCCTCCACACCCATATGCTCCCCAGCACTGAAGAGATCTCTCTTTCACAGGCATCCTTTCCAAATCACTAGAAAATGAGCAAACACAGTTTCTGCTGCCACAGTAACATGTGGAGAGGAAATTAATCCATCAGGTCCTCCTTAACTTTTGTGATGTGACAAGATTTATTGCCCATAATCTATCACCGAGAAGAGAACTCTGGTGCCCTCCATCATTCTGATCTATATTAAACAGTTGCTTGTTGGCAGGTATATTAACACAGCCGGTAATTAGTGCTGTCAAAATACTTAAATAATTGCCTCCTAATGCAAAACTTTGCAAACAGATTCCTCTCTGCAGCAATTTAACATTCTCACCAATGAGAATTTAAAAACTCATCCTGTGAGTACCGGTTTCTCCAAAGGAGAGCAGCACTTGGGGAATGCAAGGCAGCTGGGCAAAGACAGCTATGAATGACTGCAGAAAAAGCTCTAGCACCAACCATCTCAGAGCTGCCTCACCTCCTCAGGGACATGTCCCTCTTTTAGCCAAAAGCCTCGCTCCTCTGGGCAGATGTGCTCTGCTCAAGCAGTTCAACAAAAGCACCGGCAGCATTTGGCTGCCATTCTAAGCCAGCCACTGGCTTCTACCACTCAAAGGGACAGAAAGTCATGCTAGGTTGGGCATGAATCTGATCCTACCCTTTCGCTGGAAAGGACACAGAATTTAAACGTATTCTTAACTGTGGTATGAGCCAACAAACGTCCTAAGGGATGGGTCATATAGCTGACCAACTTGGGAACCTCAAGATTTAAAAATTTTGCACTTGGAAGCCAAGTTCCATTACCCAGAAGGCCGCAGATGCTTCAAACCTCTACATTTGACCAGGGCACTGGAGGGAGAACAAAGACAGCTCCTCTGCACTGACTCAGCAATGGCTGCATCTCAGTGGGAAGTGATCAGATCCCTGCACACCTCATTACCATCGTTAGTTATACCATTCTCTAAAGTTGCTCACCATCACAGATGCTATGACACAAGAGGATTGCCTGAAGTGTCTTCAGTAACTCTCTCTCTCTCTCTCTCTCTGTATCCCTGGACTACAGTGTTTTATCATACAGAACCTACGTGCTTGGATCAGGACCTTGTGAGCTTGGAAAAAGCAGCTTTCACACTTTAACAAGCTCCCAAAGAAGTTCTGGAGCTTAGATCTCATTTGCTTTTGCCTTACCCAGAAAGACCAGTGTTGAATACGACTTCCCCTGCTGTGGAGGATGGATAGCCAAAAGAATAGCCCTTCATCTTCGTCCCATCTTCCAGCACCAAGTTCGCTGTCTGCGCCTAGAGAAAGGCACATGAAGAGACTCAAACACAGGAGGAAAAGCCTTGATGTTTACACAGGTAACACCTAGGACGCCTGCCTTTCACGCCTCACGCTGGAAGGATGCCTGCCCCTCCTATCCCCAGCCACCAAGACACAGTCTCCTTTACTAGTCCCTGATGCTCTTTTTCTTTCTAACACTTGGGAAACATTGTGCTCCTAACGACGGCAAGGCGGCCAGCAAACCTCACTGCAAGCAGAGCATGTGCTGCTCTTACTGTGGGATCACCCTGGCTCTTTCCATACCACTTCGTTCGTTTCTTCCACCCATTATACCTTGCAATTAACTGGTATCATAACACCACAGGGAAAGGATCGCCTCTCTCCTCTGTGTTTGCTCCAGGCTTGCTGCTGAGTACACTGGCTCTCATCCAGCTTTGGCCTTTGATAGGTGCTTAACTTTTGTTGCAACTGCACAGCTAATCTGCCAAAAATAAGTGTATGCTTGTTGGACTGGTGTCAGCCAGCAAAATTCCAAATATCAGTCCGTTCCACCGCAGTACACAAGAAGAGAGGAACCCGTGGATCGGAAAGACACTCATGGTCTCAGTTACTTCAGGGATAGGCATAAATTGTTCCAGAAGAGGCAGACGGGGAACAAGCAGCCTAGAGGAAAACTTCCCAGAAAGCAGCAGCTCTTTCAGAGAGTGTTTAGCAGCACTGAGTCCCACGCTGACCGGGGGATCCCTCACAGGCTTAATACAGCTGAAGAAATGGGGACACAGAGAGTGACTTTTACACAAGCCAGTAAGGGATTCAGTGGCACAGCTGGGTCTTTGCACACACCAGACTAAACACACCCTCTTTTGCTTCATTTGGAAACTAAAGCTTTCTTAGCCTGGATGGGAAACCACCTGGGAACTCCAGCTTCTACCCCAAAAATGAGCATATGCACAACAGAAATGACAATGAGTTGGGAGATTCCTTCAGACAGTAGGATCACTGATGACATGCAGGGGAAGGCAGAGAGGAAGCAAAGCTGGAAACAGATTTGCCAATGAATTTCTGGGCTTAAAAGAATTTGAATGATGAACCTTTCAGGCCCTGATAAACTTCTACTTCTGGAATGCAATCTCAGCTGCCTCCTGGGCCCAGAGTGACCACCAGTGCAAAAACCCCAATGGTCTGTGCCACAGGAGATATGCCAAGTTACCACGCAGTAGCTCTCACTGTGATTGAACTTCATATTGTTGGTTTGGGGTTTTTTTTGGTTTTGTTTGTTTGGTTTTTTTTACAGAATGATTCCTCTTACTGGGACTTTTTTAAAGAAGAATCAAGATCAATTTGCTGCAGAAAGGAGCAGGAGAGCTACTTTCCATTAACTGTAAATCAGATGAACAATCACAGCAAGGAGAAATTTCATTCCCAGCATTGAACGTTTTGTAACAATCATGGCAAACATTCATCTAGAGGTCCTCTGCAGTTATAAATACTGCACAGATCAATTACTAATGTACTGTAAAATACACTAAAAATCAAGCTGCACTGCCAAGTAATTGAATTCTGTGCATCTGGGATGCTTTTAGCCTTACATTTTTTCCTTATTAATGTCAAACATCCAGTTATTCTCAAAAGGTTTAGCCATCATTTTCCGAGCCTTCCCAAACCACTGAATGGGATAGTCAGCAACGCCGAAACCACCTCCCCTGCCTCAGTTATAAATGTAGTTTTTGTGACTAAATCCCCCTAGATTTAGCCCAAATAAAAGTCACAGTTTGGTCAGCTCCCTAGTCTCACTAAGCTTCTTACTACAGAAAGCTGCCACATGTTCAAAGCATGACGAAGCCCAAAGGTCACCTGGGTGCCTCAGGTCAAGCTTTGGACAGGACCTCTGCCTTTTCTGGAGGCTGCTGAGAACCCAGCCCACACTGCCGACACAGGGGACTGACTGCAGGAACCGGTCCTCTCATCTTGGTTTCAAGAGATGGATCTCTTCCCTCAGCAGGCCACCTAGTAAGTCCACTCAAATATCAGCTCCAGTTCAAGCAAGTCCTACCTCTTGTTGGAACAAGTTGGGCTAATCATCTGAATCGCAGTCCCAACTGCAAACACAGCCTGGGAGAATCCTTCAGGAAGCAAAGTCTACAACGGTGGAATGACCAGAAAAGTTAAGATCCATCTAACTGCTGAGGGCCAAAATCCAGAGCAATCACTGTGACCTCTAGAGCCTCACTCTCACTACGGTACTTGACAGGAATCTGCCTGTCCTTCCTCCCATCGCAGACCACCTGCCCTTCTACACGAGACCAGCACAGAAATCACTTCTGTTGGACAGAAGCCCTTGTTGTACTATTAGAGCCCATACACAGTGCTCAAGTAATGCAGAATGTCCCTGAGCAACCATAACCTGCCTGCAAGTTCAGCTCTAGCAAGGAATAGACGTCCAAATGTTTCCCTCCCTTACTTGATTTATTATTCTTAATTAAGTGGTTGGTTTGTTTGTTGAGCATTCCAGAAGCAATTATTCTTGCTTACGTTTCCAGCGGAGGTGTTACCATATCCCTAAGCTGCAGCCTACCTTGTCTTTTCGGTTTTGTTTTTAATGTGAAAAGTGATTTACAGGCTATAAAGAAGGCCAAGTTGGCTCAATCAGGGATTAGTTGGTACAGATTTTCACTTTCAAAAAAACAACAAGCAAGAAATAAAGAAAAAACGCAGAGCTTCCATGAGGTCCTTTTGTTTCCACCCTTCTCAAAAGCATCCCCATGCAGTCTTGGATAAATCTCTGTTGTAGTCTCAACTAAAATCTTTCTTAGACACACACAGTGTGAGACACACCGTTTGCAATTTTATTTCTCCTTCCCACACACCAGTAGCTTTACCTCTAGCAGAGCTCCCTGTGCTCCTGAGAGGCTGCAGGCCTCTTGAACAGCTCCGAGGATGGAGATGGCGAACAGAAAGGGTCATGCTGTTGCTGTGGTATTGCTGCATTTTGTCAAAGCATCTTGAAGAATTAACTAGTTGAGGTCCCACTTCACTAACCACTTCACACATGAAGTAAACAAAGCACTGTAGCAATTAAAAACCAAAAACAACAAAACCCCCAAACCAATAAGAAAGTAAAAAACCAGATTAATTTAGTTCCAGTTACTTCCCTGCTCTAGCAGCCCTTCCCATCTCCAGGATGGATGATAAAGATCTGCAAAGTCTCAAAAGATCTGCAGCACAATTTGTTTTTAAAGCATGTCTGCTAGAAACCCCTGTACTGGAAAATGAACAGGTACTTTTTTCCTCTTTCTACTTGCCTCACAGGGTAACCAGTCAAGGAAGCAGAGTTTTTCCCTTCCAAAGAAATCCCTCAGTTTGTCTCGGCATGGCCGAGCCGAACCCTGAACGCCGGGCTGCGGAAGGACTGTGAGGACGCACAGTACTGAAGCCAGGATGGGTGCTGGTGGATGGCAGAGACACAGCTGGGACTCCATTCCAGCACGGACCAGTTTATTTTCCTCCAGCAGGATGACGATAAACCATCTCATTTCTAAGTCAGGCCGTAATTCCATGCAGCACAGCAGCCTCTGCTGCGTTTTTCAGCATGCAAACCTGGCTACGTGACAGCCAACATTCAGAAGCGCAGAAGCAGCCAAAAGCCACCAGATTTCTTCTACAGTGCTGCACCCCTCTCTCAAGATCAAATTACCAGCAACAAAGGAGTTTTCTCTTTGATAGAAAAATGTCTTTCTTGTGAGTACTACACCATCGCAGCCTGGAAATCTATCTGGACACTGCTAACAGTCAGACAGTCCATTGCCAATCCTTTTTTTATATACATAAAATTTTTTCTTAGCACATTTGCTTCTGGCTAAAATTAAGAGAAGAAGAAAGGGCAGGAATAAAAAAAAAAATCATCAAAAACCAGGTCAGTGTCTTGGGATACAGCAAAGAAGACTCACACTTACACTAACTTTAGGGAGAAGCTTTGGATTAGTTCCTTGACCATCCAAAGCAAAGAGAAAGCAAAGCCAGAAACACAACGCAGGTCCCATGGTGGAAAAGTCACAGCTCCTACAACTTGAACTCTTCTTAAGGCTGTTCACCACAATGCCACCGACGTCTGCTCATGACAAAACTCAAAGGAGCAGGAGGAACCAAGACAGGTGAGGCAGCCAGAAGTCAGTGAGCACCTGAGGAAATAAGAACCCCTCTTCTCCCCCAGAGTAGCAGCTAAGCCCGCCCCATTTCTAAGGGAACAAGCCCAGTTTTACCCACCTCCCCTTCGCTTTCACCCCCAGAGGGAGAGAAGTGGAGCAGCTCGTGACTGATCTTTCACCTCCTCACCCATCCCTCTGCTTCCCATTCAGCCACTTTCTCAGTTACTTCCCATCTGCCTCAAAACATATTTGAGGAGCCCTTTTACAGTAATCTGAAATAGTTTCTAAAGCCAGCGCTCAAAAATTTTCCTCCTCTCTCTCTCTCTCATTTCTAACTATATTTTTAGCTTGCTCCTGATGGTTTTTATAGCTCTCCCAATCCTCTCTTTACTGAGCCAGCTATACTGTTACAAGCCACCTATTTATTGCTTGTACTACTCTTTACATCCCCATTTAACTACATTGGCCTCAGATGAGCATTAAATGCTATGAGCTTTGAGCTGCAGTCTCTCTGCCTATTCCTGAATTACAAAGAAGCTTGATTACCCTGAAACCAGTGATGCTAAACACCCCCACAGAGAGCTCACAGAGGTCTCCAATCTGCCCTCTGTGTCCCTTTTTCACCCCGAGATGCTCCATCTCTCCTTTAGAACTGAAGGATGGGATGCAATAGGGAAATACAGACCTGTGAATCCCCACACTTCAGACTGCTCACCTACAATGGTGCTTCCTCATACAGGCTGAGTTTAACTGGACAGAAAACAGACCTGGGAGAAGAATTATTAGACACTCTACCAAAACTACCACCTCTCCTCTCCCTCATGCTAACACTTTACTTAGCTTATACATAGGTTAGAAACATGTTTTCATTGTGTTTTGTTGTATTCCCTAAAAAAGCCCACTGAGAAAAAGCAATAAAAGGCAACTAAATGCTCATTTCAGCCTGCAGTAATGGGAGAATGGGATCATTACCTATAGCACCATTAGCCCACACACCTTAATTACCTTGCATTTCACTCTTTCTCCAAACTTCCTACAAATATCCATTACCTCTAATGATGGCTGGAACACCAAACCCAGCCATAAGTCACTACTTGGCCACTTGTTTCACAACTACAGTTAACTTCCACACTCTGATGGGAAGCTATAGAATAGGTTGGCTTTTTAGGACCACTTCTCCTTCAATTTTCCCTCAGGCTTGCTGCTTTACTGCTTGCATATGTATATTAGAGAGTCTCTTCCACTTCTGCTTCTGTATGCCCCACGGAAAAAGGCGTATAAGCCTCTCACTGTCTTAAAGCAAAAGCCCCAGACCAGGAAAGGTTCAAGTTTTTGTATTCCAGATTCTGAATTCAAGCAGAACCACATGGCCCCGGGCAAAGGTGGCATTAAAAATCTGAGCTGAGATCTCAAGAGCTACACACTCGTAAACTACACTAGGTATTAGCCTTCTTACTCTCCATGAGTTTAAGTATCCACTCTGACAGCACAAACTCCTGCTTGGTTTAACCCAAAGAATCAAGTCTTGGATTTGACTTGATTCAAAGGAAACGACTTTCCCCAGTGTCCATGCTAAGGCAGAAGATGTCACACAATATATGTCAGAAAGAGACTCCTGGGGCTGGCTGGCTACCAGTAGTACCTCCTGTGGTGAGCCAGTTAGTGACAGTGCAGGTGTAAATGCTCCCCTGGGCTCAGCACTTTAGATGCGCGGTAGGTCTTGGCCACTCTGCAACAGGACATGTCACAGACCTTGAAACAGAAAAAAGGGCCCAGTTCATTCTGACCCACCTCGGGTGTATTTGCACTTCCTGGGACTGAGGTTAAAACAGCTCTCAAGGGTTTCACTTGGCATTGCCTTCTTAACAGGTATTCATTCTCCTTGCCTTCAGCGCTGGTGTCGTTGGCTTTAAGCAATCACTCCTTAGCTTTACAACCACAGAATAAGGTCCGTGCTCTAACAGCTGGTACTGTAACTCCATTAGACCAGGGCAGCAGTTTTCCATGAGAATGAACTTCTTAATCGGATGCCTCAGCATTATGAGATATGACCTTGTAGGTCTGTCACTGTGCAGTCCTTGAATGTGTGACAAAACACGTACCTAATATCATCAATCTGTCATTTAAGATGTCAAATCCAAACTTCAGATGCTAATCCACCCAGTATTAGAATGCACCAGATCCAGCCTACTGCAGGTGCCTACCAGAATTATCCTGGGATGTGTCTTGTCAACAGCTGAATGAGCAACCCTAACCATGAGCTACAAAGCTTTACCAGTGGAAGATGCCTTTTACTGCCGCAGGCTTACGACCACAGACTAAAGTGTATTTGAACTCACTTCTCTGTGCATCACTTCAACTGCTGTACTCTGCAGAGCACGGCAGAAATAACTGAACCAGCTCCAAAAAGCAAGAGAGGTACCAGAGGCAATAGGGACAAGCAAGGATGATGTTCCAGCAGAACTCCTCAGTCATGCTTAGTTGCCTTGACATTTTCTAAAACCATAGTGAACTTGCATGTACCTGCATAGACTTCTGTTCTACAATACATAGCATCAGAATACTGATGTAAGACTCCTGTTGTCATCACAAGGAGGAATAACTTCTTCCTAAGCCAGATCTGACTGCAGAGTCAGGATGAGTCTGCTGGGAGGAAGACGACTGTGCTGTGTTCTAAGACAGTGAACAAGGTAACAGTTCACGCCTGCTGTGCACTCTCGGGAAGGGGAAGACAGGGCCCTTAGCAGGACCCCTAGTCACAACACAGGCTCTGTTTTTAAGTGCAAGTAAGATAAAGCTAACCTGAGAAATCACATGCTGAAGGAAGGGATGAAAATAGGGATGCCTCTTTCCTCATCCAGCTTTTCTCTGCAGTCAATTTTTGTTTTAAAAATAATGAATCTGTTGCCAGGAGCTCAGAGAACACCTCAAAAATCAGTGGCTGTGGGACAGGTAAGAGAAACCCTAGTCCTCAGTGGACAGAAATGATACTGGTCAGCCCTCTACACCACCCTGCCAGGTAAGGCGGCATCCACTGGGTACCACAGCCCAAGTCTCTAAGAGCTCTTCCCCACCACCTGCTGAAACATCACTCCTCCAGTTGCTAATTCTGTTACACTTTGATTCAACAGGACACACAGGCAAGAGTGCCTTTCCAATGCAAAGGGCATGATGACAAAACACTGCCAGTGCTACAGAATTCACACAGAAAGTCCCACTTTCCCACTGGACTCTGCCACACCTGCCTGAGTTTCACTGGCAAAGCTGGTCAAGTGCAGCTCTTGTAACAGAGAGCAGGAGAAAGCTGGGGAAGCAAATGAAGGTGTTCCAGCCCCAGTAAATCAAGCGCTGATACACTGAGGCATTCACAAAGAGTTGTCTACCTCTCTGATTAATCTCAGAGCCATCATGGTTTCCAATACATTGGAAATGGATCCTTTGTGGACCCAGTAGGACTAATCACATGCTTCATGATGTATGTTTTCAATTATCTAGCTGATTTGTGCTCATACAGACTGAAAGATCTGCTCTGTTAGCTACCAGTCCTATAGGAGGGTGGGGTGTTTCTAAAGAAAATACTATATAATAATTAACTGAAACCCTGAACTTCTACCTTTTGGTGCAATTTACCCTATAATTTTCATTCCATACTACACAAAAAGTGTGTTTGCTTAGTTAATAAAACCATTTAGCCAAGCAACGCCCTTGCTTAGGGGTCAGACAAATCTCCTTTGGTTCAACTTTATGTGTCTAAGTAAGCCCTGTTATCTGCAGCAAGTTATCTCTCAGCACGCCAGACACATCTATCAAGCCACGGTAGCTCAGTTACTGTTACCTTGATGCTCAACAGCCTGGTACCAGTCCTTGAGAAACTCCAGTGATCAGCAGACACGTTGCAAAACTCCAATCTGCCTTTCAAAGTCTTCACCACTTTGCAAGCTGTCAAAATTCTTGTCATCTTGAGAGTTGCCAATGGGTAACTAAAGTTCAAGGAAAACAAGACAAAGCAAAAATCTGCTTGTATGTGTGTCTTCAAGATCTAGTGCGGACAATGTACTCCTGAAGATCACAGGGGAAGAGAACAGAGGCACAGCAGGTGTGCTGGACTGACTGTACAGCGCTGCCCCACACCTTCCCATTTACTCTGCCATTAAAAGTCTCTGGGGCAGCCCCACCTCCTCCCGCCCCTCCTCAGAGGGTGCTGGCTCAGACACCCTTGCAACACTCTTCTTCAGGCTGGTGTCTGAGCACCGTTGTAGGGGTTGCATCACAGGCCAGGCACGAGCTCTGCTTGCTGTAGGACAGCAAAACCTGCTAGAGAAATCCCACCCGCAGCAATGAAGACAGTCCTCACGCTCTGAAACAAACTTTACATTTCAGTAAGAGACAAGGAACAGCACCACTTGTTCTCCTCACGAAACGTGGTCAAGGTGAATTAAGAAAGTCTGTTCACAATGTGTCTTTGAGTGCTCTCCAAGGTGTGCTCTGGGGTCTGGACATTAGCCTGTGACTGCTACAAGCATGCTTGTATTAAAAGAAGTAAAGTGGGAAGACTAAATTCTGTGGAAAGCCGTAGTCTTTTTATTCTATGTTTGGAGAGTACAGAGTCACCAGAAGCCCTAGCACAGGCCCCAAAGTGCTGCCCCTCCCCAAGTAAATGAGGAGGGCATCACCAGGAAAAATAAATGGCTCCAAGAGAAAAACATCATCTGGTAAAATTTTAATGGACAACAGCTGAAATGAGGTGAAATGTTCCATATGCTATCTTCTAACTGACTACAGACCTCTGTGACTATCACATATTTCCTATAATCCTACACTACAGACTTCCAAAAGAATCATGTTCCTCATTAGGTAGACATGAAAATGCCTAAAGACGACAAAAGCTGTGGGAGAAGCATGCACGTTACTATTCTTCAAGAACTAAGATGGCGAGGCATCTTTTGAAACCCAGGTGATAAAAGCTTCAATTAGCTCAGAGCAAGAAAAAAATGAAACATACAGACTTTTTAACCACTGACAGTAATAATCAGGACTTCTTTGTATACAGTGGTTTGAGACTAGTCTAAATTGATGCCAGTATAACATAAAAACATTTCCTGCACAGTTCATTATAGCACCAGGTTGAACTGTTATGCACAAAATAAAAGACAGAAGAGAGGGCAATGGGTTTGGGTATCCTCTGTGACGTGGAGAGCTTATTGGAGACTCGGATGAGAAGCACATGGGAAAGGCCTGAATCCAGATGACTGAAAAGAGACAGTTAGGGAGGAAGACAGACTGGGTGTAGTGGAGCTCATTGCTTTAACATGAGCTTTGCAAGTGTGCAGAGCGGGGAGGAACTTCCCTCTGCCAAAAAATGGGCAAAAACATCCAAGCTATTTGTCTCTCTACCAATGTGCTAAAAAGAGGTGATGAACTGTTGACTCTTTAAGGCCAGAAAATATATCAGGGATTCCTGAGAGAAGCCTCAGTTCGGAAAAACCTGGCAACATACAAACAGATTTGGTATGGACAGATCTTAAGTATGTGCTTTGCTTAACATAAAGACCAAAAGAAGCAGAATTACTAAGAAACAGAGAATCAACACGGAAAAAGAAACCAATGGTTTTATGGAGATGCAACCACACTGCCTGCCAGTACATGACTTGCAATCGTATCATCCCTCCGGTAAAAAAAGTTTGGGCAAGGTCTCTGGAGGAAGGATAAATATCGGAGAAATCAGCAATGTGAAGCCATGAAGGCAGAAGAGTCCCTCAGACAGGAACAGTTCAAACACTGTGCGAGGTGGGGACGTACTCACAAGTTGGGCTTCTGTAAGGTGGTTGTAGACTTGGCGTAGCTGTTTAGACAGAGGAAGACTGCCTCTTGTTTCATATTCATTTACACTGCACCCTACACAGACAGGGAGCAGGACAAGGAGAGCAAAGTGCTCGTTAAAACGAGAAGCTTTTTCTTCCTGTTTACAAAGGAAAAATCACCAGAAATTAAATTCATCACACAGTCCCACTGTACCATAAAAATCAAACAAAATCAGTGGTCTGTGGCTTTGTAAATCGCCGAGGTCAAATATTCAAAGAAATCCAAGTGCCTACGTTTTCAGAGACTTAAAGCAAACTGCTTGATTTTCAGAAGAGAAGTGCTCAGAGCACCTGAGGCCCTGCTTAGGTGCCCTAGGAGGGGCACCCCAAAATGGAAGCTCCCAAAGCTGCTCGTCACAGCTGGGAAGCTCCGCTAGAAGCAGCGAAGCTACGCAGGATTTTTCGTTTTCAAGTTCTCTGTAAAAAGCACAAGATAGTTCTGTTCTTTCTTGAAAGACAAGAGACGAGGGCACATTTGTGGGCACGTTGGCTCAGATTCACATCACTGCAAGTCCCAAGTAACTGTCTCCAGCCCAGTGGAGCTCCGGTGGCATAAGCCTCCCCTGGATTGGGATCAGCATAACAAGCAGTCCATACGAATTGCTTGGACTCTCCTTGCAGCTGAGATCAGAGAGGAGTTTATTCCCCAAGTGTCTTTCAGATGATTTTGGAAATCTCTCCCGCCATCTGTCAGGTTGTGTCTGATTTCTGACCACCCTATCTTGCCCTGACTAAAACACACTTCAAAAAAAACTGAGTGGAAAAGCAGAACAGTTGAAGGTGCCAGCAAAACTGAAATTTTCTGCTGCCACAGGGAACAAGACAAACACTCTCCTCCATCCCTACAGCTTGCAGAAAAGCCCTCGAAGTGATTTGGAAACCCTGCCTTCCATTTCAAGGCAAGCTCCACTTGCTTCCCAAGGAACTCATAGGAAAAGTTTTGAAAGTGTCTGAAAAACATTAAGATTTGCCATAGGTTTTCTAAGCAGGCATTAATCAGGCAAGATAAGGGGGGGCAATGGCTTTAAACTGAAAGAGGGGAGATTTAGATTAGACATAAGGAAGAAATTTTTCACTCAGAGGGTGGTGAGGCACTGGAACAGGTTGCCCAGAGAAGTTGTGGCTGCCTCATCCCTGGCAGTGTTCAAGGCCAAGTTGGATGAGGCTTTGGGCAACCTGGTGTAGCGGAGGGTGTCCCTGCCCACGGCAGGGGGGTTGGAACTAGATGATCTTTGAGGTCCCTTCCAACCCAAACCGTTCTATGATTCTGTGATTCTAAGATCGCTGCAGTGGATCCGATGGCAAGTTTGAGCCAGATGATAACAATTTTTGTTCACAGCATACTGCTAACAACTCTATCAAACCCCATTAACTACTTACTTTCTTTGCAGCGTGTAGCGGGGGAATAAACTGAAGTTATCGTGTTCCCATGCAAACGAACTAACAGCATCCAGGCATCCCCTGCCACCTGATCCTTTCGGATTGCTGCAGGAGAGAAAGCAAGCTCGCTTACACTTGCAGATCTGCTGCCTTAAGCCAATCTCAGATCAAATGAAGCATTTAGAGCAAAACTCACAACATTTAGAAACCATGGTAATTGTGATGGAAAGTGCGACGAGCCAAGAATTTAAAAACTAAGGCAGATCTTCACTTGAGTATAACTGAAAGGAATAAGAATCAAGTGCAAACTTACCCCTCAGCTCTCCTGAATTCTGTTATTTAAGCCACAGCCAGAATGTGTTTTTTACCCCATAGTTTGTTCTATTTTAGAGGAGGTCTGGGGAAAAAGGCATTTTAAATTTTAATGGAAGAGGTTCACAGCAGATCAAAATACAATCTTCAGATTCGGGTGCTGCATTTTGATTCATCCTCACCAACTCATACGATGGTACATCCTGACATGTTTCCTTCTTTCTGAAGTCCAGCCAAGCAGTAGTTGTTCATTACTGGAGAACTTGAGCCTTCAAATATGAGACAAAAAGGGTTTGTAGAGGTGATAAAAAATTTTAAGACATGGTTCTGACCTCAGCACAGAAAATAAATTTTAAAAAGTTACATTTCAAATTATAGAAAATTCAAGCCTTGCCAGATCCTATTTTTTCCAGTCAGAAATTCTGCATTAGCAGAAACCGATGGTTTCATATACTCATTCAGGATTTCTGGACAGCTAGAAATACTGGCTGTGTCCACCCTGCCTGCACAGATTGACTCTCTACAACTTACACATGGAGATCAAAGTTTCATGGAAGCATCAGATCTCCTGAGTGTGTGCAGCTCAACAGCACACCTGCTTGGAAGTCAAGTCTGGCACTGTCCTGCAGCTGGGAATTCATATCACATGAACCATACCCCATATCCACAGAGACAAGACTGGGAAAGTTCCTGAAACCTGGCAGAACAATACGTGCAGGTTAGTATGAAGCATGATTTTGAAGAATGGCTAATCCATGCTGCAACACCGGGGATCTGACAGCTCCTGCAAACTGGTACCCTGACAGAAGTATACTACAGATACATATACATAGATGGAAAAAAGATCAAAGTCTGGCCATAGCAATTCCTCTTCCTTCTCAGTCTCAGTCAAATTTTGAGTAAACGGCAGACATTCAAGCCTGTACGCACTCTTATCGTTTCAGAATGCCTTCATGTGGCACAAACATTAATAACCACTTTCTGTGCTTGCCTAACTTACCAACAAGGCAAATAAACCTCATTAACAATCCATCTGCTTTAGTCCTCAGAGATGGAGAGACCGGTTGTTACCCAAAAAGCCAAGCATTGCTGATTGTTGACTTTCCTTCTACTTACCATTCTATCACAGACTTTGGGTAAAACTCAGAGCTTTCATCCTCCTATTCCAATTTTAGTAAAGTACAGAACAGACATGACACCAGCCCAAGTAAACCAGACTTCACCCTAAACTTTTTTCTACCCTGAGCTTCCCAAAGAATACCAATTCTTTTGAATACCAGTTGCTTTTGAACTAATAAAAGACAGGAGCGATTGAATATAAACTCAGACAACTTATTTTTTTAGATGGAAACAATTCCAAGTGACAAGGCAAGAAGAACAGTAACTACAAACCAGCTGCTCTGAG